GTAGGTCAATGATATTTGGTATGCAAATGTATTAGCATTGGCACATCTCATTTCCATGTAGATTGTTTGGTCCTGTACTTTCAGTCATGGTTCATTGACTTTGAATATTTTGCATAACTTACATGTTAAAGTAATGCTATTCTAATTTCCATGTTTGCATTTTACTATCAAAATAACAAAAAGGCGAGATATATCTCTGTGTTAACAGTTTATTATTTTCTTACTTTATATTTCACAAAATATTTTGGATATAAAGCACAAGCATAATTTGTCTTACAATACAGTATATGTTTTGTCCCCTTAACTCATTTAGGATCTTTTTATTTTGCAGTATATTAGTGCATATACCATACATGTACCAAATTTGTGCATTTTGTTGAGATTCAATTTGCATCAGTTTTTCACATTAGGTCCGAGGACACAGTTATCGTCCTTCGATTTTCGTTGTCTACAAATATAGTCCCTAGTGTGGACAGTGTATAACTTGCAAATTTTTTTTTTACACTTTACAAATTTATTTCTTTATATTTAATGCATGAAATATTAAGTAAGGGGATGAAATTACATGTTAAAAAAATTTGGGTGCTGAATCTTTATGTTAAGTAGTGATTAGGTCCAGTATAAAAAGGTCAAAAATTAGTATGTCTGAAGCTGTCAAACTGAATTTTAGACCCCCTTAACATAGAATTGTCAATATTTTGAGTTAGAGCTGGTAGACTTTTCTATAATTTTGATATTATTTGTCCCAAAAGTAGTACACTACACTGTAAAAATCTTTTTGAGATAGAGCAGGTGCGATTTTTTTAATTTGACTTTATTGTCTAAAAGAAATGCACTACGAAATAACTGTGTTCTCGGGCCTAAGAGATGAATTCAGGAAATGTAGATTCTGTACTTTGGCAACGTCCCTGAATGGTTTGCTGGTTTCAATTTGTCAAACTCAATAAAAGTAAAAGATTTACATCTTTATTTGAAAGAAATTCTGTTAAAATGTCCCATTTTGACATCATACGGCTAAAATAAGCATTTTGAAGCAGTTTCCATTTTAAGCCTAAGAGGCATGCTGACTTTCTATCTGAAAGCTTTTTAATGCTTTGATATTTGTGTTTCTATGATTAATTCAAATTCTATTAACCATTTGTGAACTCTGAATATAGAGAAAAGTAGATTATCACAGAAAAAATGTGCAAAATGTGTTGTATTTAGGCCCTGGTAGAACGGCCTGTTTAATGTATGTTCAATGTGAAGAGCTTTGTACATAGAATGTGTTGTCCATCATAAAAATTTCACTAAATCTGTAAAAAAAGCACTTGACAATGATCTGTGCACCTTATCCATTTCATTTACTGCCTTTATTTTCTTCTGTAGGATAGTATGTGGTTCAAATATATATATATATATGCCAGTTGAGACTAAGAACTACATGCAAGTTTTCCATTGAAAAGTGAAAAAAAACTGTGCATCAGACCATACTGTCTGCAAAAAAAGTTGAATGCAAGAGTCCTTTTGCAATTAGACTTCTTGTATCATGACATCTTAGCATAGAAATGAGCAAAAAGTAACAAATTTCCATTTCTTATAGCTTCTGTATGCATTTTTATATGTAAATATGTGCTACGGCCTAAATTGACACTAAATAATGTTCAGTCTTACATAGCCTAAGATCATTTTATACTCATTTGGTATGCTTTTTGTAACTTTTCTTTCCATTTAAAGTACATTTAATATATATGAAAAAATAATTTATGGTAAAAAACTTCAAAAACTTCAAATTGGTTGAAAAAAATGCATGTTTATGTAAGGCTCCCCTTAATTCGAAAATCTCTATTTTCAGGCACAGGCTCATATAAATTTGACTTTTGAATAATTGTAACAACTCTGATAAACCAAATGAGTGGTCAGTTGCTTTTAATACTTAATATATTATATTTAAGAGCATTTCAAAAGCAAATTTTTGCAATATTTGAATTTTTTAAGCCCAAATCTTGAAAGTTGAAATTATTTGATTTAAACGTCAAAATTAAACATTCAAATTTCAATATTAAAATTGCCATAGTTTCTATAATATATATCCTATGGCCATGAAACTTGGCAAACTATCTTATAATTGCCTAAGCTTAGGTCATGAAAAGTTTAATTAGAATTGGTCAAGTCTTTCTATACTATTAGGTCCGAGGACACAGTTATCGTCCTTCGATTTTCGTTGTCTACAAATATAGTCCCTAGTGTGGACAGTGTATAACTTGCAAATTTTTTTTTTACACTTTACAAATTTATTTCTTTATATTTAATGCATGAAATATTAAGTAAGGGGATGAAATTACATGTTAAAAAAATTTGGGTGCTGAATCTTTATGTTAAGTAGTGATTAGGTCCAGTATAAAAAGGTCAAAAATTAGTATGTCTGAAGCTGTCAAACTGAATTTTAGACCCCCTTAACATAGAATTGTCAATATTTTGAGTTAGAGCTGGTAGACTTTTCTATAATTTTGATATTATTTGTCCCAAAAGTAGTACACTACACTGTAAAAATCTTTTTGAGATAGAGCAGGTGCGATTTTTTTAATTTGACTTTATTGTCTAAAAGAAATGCACTACGAAATAACTGTGTTCTCGGGCCACATTATTGGTTTCTGTAGTTAGCATGGTGTTTTTGTGAAATTTAGCAACAAAGGGTTATGATTGTCTAAATCAGTTAAATCAAACAAATCAAATTTATTCAATCATCTTTGGGATATTTACTTTAAGAATGTGCCACAGGTCAGTCTGACAAGGATTAAATAGAACATAGGGGTAAAATGCAGGAATTGTCTTTTAATTTGAAAATCATGAGAAAATCTGGCATGGACATGATTTGCTCAGTTGTCTGTATAGTACAAATTATGGTTCATATACATATTACATTAATATGTTCTCATCCTGAATATGAATCTAATTTGCCAAATTGTAATTTACCTACCATCGATCTCATAGTTTTCATGGTTCTTTTATTCATATTAAAGTTGTTTTTAGATAAGTTTCTACAAGTTACTGTAGAAGATCTACTTTGTTCGATGTATTGAATTTTTTTATGGTGCAAGTTCCCTCTGACAAGATAATCTGACAACACTTCACTTTAATGGTTCAGTGATTAAAATAAAGATTTTCTAAATTACTGATGAAGTCCATTATAATATAAATAGAGGGGGAAAGGGAGGGGTCTCATCTTGAATTCCTGAGAAAATAAATGTCAAAATCCCAATCCCATGAAAAAAATGTCTGTTCCGGCATCAGGATTTAATTAAATTCCTTTTGAAGTAACTGCCTATTCCCGAATTCCAGAGACTTAACGGGCTCAATCCCAAATTCCTGAAAAAGGTACTTCCACCCCTCTATATAGTTCTGTGATTGTAATATTAATGTCACCTTGTACATATAAGCTGGATAATTTGATCACTGAGATTTGTGTTGATAAATAATGCAGAAAAGATTATTCATTAATTGATTAATACTTTATACTTAATGTCCAGTGGCAAATGTTTCATGCATACAACTAAATGATATGATTTTTTTATCAGCTTCTCCTTAACAAATTGTGTAAACTATCAGCCATAAGTCAGAATGTGGAGCTTTTTCAGCAAGTGAGCACAGTTGAACAATGTATTTTTTTTTTACAAATTTACTAAAAGAAGACTAAAAAGAAGTTTAGGTCAACTTATTACCATATGTTCAAACATGACATGTCTGATGAAAAGTGACTAAAAATTCGTAAGGGTTCCGCGGAACCCAGTGTCTCGCCTACTTTTTCTGTTAATCGCAGGCTCAACAAAAATGAGGAAGTTAATCAATAAAAATATTCCTCTTGATACTATCTTGAAAGAAGCTTCTGTCCAAGTTTGGTAAAAATCCAGGATAGTTTATGAATCTAATAAATGTTTAAAAACTTTAACTGCAGACTGAATGTAATGTTAACTGGAAGAAAACAAAATTTCCTTCTAGATACTAGCATTTGATCATAAACAAGCTTCTGTCCAAGTTTGGTACAAATCCAAAATAGTATAAGAAAGTTATTAAAATTTTAAAAACTTTAACCACAGAGTGAATATGTTGTTTCCTGGCAGAAAATCTAAGTCCATTTAAAAGTAAAATACAGATTTATTTTTTTACAAAATTTCCTTCTAGATACTAGCTTTTGATCATAAACAAGCTTCTGTCCAAGTTTGGTACAAATCCAAAATAGTATAGGAAAGTTATTAAAATTTTAAAAACTTTAACCACAGAGTGAATGTGTTGTTTCCTGGCAGAAAATCTAAGTCCATTTAAAAGTAAAATATGGAAAAAATGGATTTATTTTTTTACAAAATTTAGTTCTAAATACTATCTTATGATCATAAACAAGCTTCTGTCCAAGTTTGGTACAAACCCAGGATAGTTTAAGAAAGTTATTAAAATTTTAAAAACTTTTACCACAGAGTGAATGTAATATTTCCCGGCTGAAACACTAAGTCCATTTATAAGTAAAATATGGAAAAAATGGAATTTTATTTTTACAAAATTTACTTCTGGATACTATCTTATGATTATAAACAAGCTTCTGTCCAAGTTTGGAAGAAATCCAGGATAGTTTAAGAAAGTTATTAAAATTTCAAAAACTTTAACCACAGAGTGAATATTTGTGGACGCCGCTGCCGCCGACGGAATGTAGGATCGCTATGTCTCGCTTTTTCGACTAAAGTCGAAGGCTCGACAAAAATCAGGTCAAACACATCTGAGGTCTCATTTTGAGATTTTACAAAGAGCTGAGCAGGGTGATGCAACAAAGCAGACTTCCCTGTACCCTTCAATTCTTGATGTGAAAGCCTTCTAGCCCATAGCTTTTCAATGAATGGATTAACTGCAATAAACTCTGTAGCTATCAAAAAGATGATATTCAATTCCACTTCAGACCCATATGAAAATGTAACATCACAAATAAATATAAAGGACATCTATTTTGAGTCATTCATATGAAAATGAAAACATGAGGTTGAATAATTTTTATTGACTCATTATTTTTTACAGAACAAAATAATATAAATATAGCACATCACCCTGATCATTCATACTACAAGACTATCATCCAAAATTTGGAGCTCATGACTTTTGTTTTCATTAAAACCCCAGTTTATACATTGTTACATGTAAAGATCTTTCAGTCATTTTAAGGTTAACTATTGAAAATGTCTTAACATATCAAGTAAATTTAGTAATTCTAACAGAAATATGTATTTAAAACCAATTAAGATTGTTTATAAATGCCAGATAAGAAAATTTAATGTCATAGAGCATTTCAATAATAGGATATCAGGAACTCATCAAAAGATTAAAGGGTGAAATTCATTTTTTTTAAGGGCACACAATTCATGGATAAACGTTTACATCACTCAAAATATGTTCTGTTGTATGTGACAATAAAGGAGTGGCTTAAACTCTCCATTTTAATTTGTTGTTGTAATGTACCCAAAACCTTATGTGAGAAGTTCTTTTTAAAAAATCTTCAATTTACTTGACAGGTGGTATACATATGAAATGAATTTCAGAGTTTTCCCCCTTTAAGCTATTTCCTTAACAAAGTAGCAAACACACTACATGTACTCCCTTACTATGTAAGAGAAAGATTTTTTAAGAACAATTGAGTATCTATGTTAACCCCTGGCCAAAGGCAATTTTAATTATAACCTCCGTTTGACCTTTTAATATAAGCAATTATTTTTCTCGATAAAAAATTATTTTCAGAACTTAAAAAAAAACTTGAATATAAAAGCTGTATTCAATGATAATGTTTCAAAAATACAATAAAAAAAAAAGAGGAAGCTACAATATTATTTGTGACATGTAACTATTAAATGTTATTACAGGTAAATAAATTCAAAGTTTATACTGATACATTGAATAAGTGTCACAATGATATAAAATATGAGGCAGTTTTATCTAATATTGTTTCTTTTAAAATACTGGTTCCTCTAGACCTAACTTCCCTAACTCTGGTGCATAAATTATTAAACTAATATTCGTATTTTGTGAACATGATTAAAAACACATGAAATGGCAAGTTACAACAGTTTGCTACAAACAGGAAGTTCTGACAACAAATATTTCTTTATGTAAAAGGTAGAAATTTTACTAAAGGATACATTGTAGATATCATTTTTTCCCCCAGTAATTTAACTAGGTATAATGCATATTAAGGGTTTTAAAATCAATTTTAAAATGGTAAAAGGCATATTGTGGCTATTAGAAATGCTAAGATGAGAAAGGACTGTTCTAGTCAATTATGTGATAAAATTGTTCACAGAAAAAATGAAAAAATTCTAATGTGTACAGGCAGTTTAACTAGATTCACTTATCACTTTAGGAAAAAAAGGGACCAATCTTTAAATGACTATTTATTCAATAAAAACTATTCAAAGATCAAGATTCACAGTGATTTGAAAAGTTTTTATGAATGATTTTTCACAATTATGATACATCATGAAGAAATAATAAACCAACTATAAATATCAAGGAATTACGGTATATAAGAAAAGATTAACTAGTACACTGTAATATTCTTTAAATTATTTTAACAATCCACGAGAAAAAAAAAAGAAAAGAAGACATTTGCTGCTACTTCTCAAAATGTCACTGATTAAAAAATTTATTCAACCAATGACAGCTTGATATACTACCCACTTTATATCCTCTTCCAACATCAATCTTTTCCAAACAACAAATATATAACAAATAATATCAGAGCTTCTCTTACTACACATCCAATAAATGCCGTGATGGTGCAGTGGTATTACTTGCATGATGTATTTCCTTGTACAACTCATATGAAATGTTTGTCACATTTTTTTATATCTAAACTAGAAGGGTCATCATTTTAAACATCGTTCAAACATTGTAGATCCTATATAACCTCCCCTCATTGATTTTGAAACATTCTGTTCAAATAACCGTCTGTTGTTCTGTAATACGTCTGCTGCTTCTTTATTTAATGGGTCCTCTGGATTTGGCTCCTATAAAAGACAATAAATTATTAATTTCATACTGTGCGTATTAAAATGTTTTACCATATTTATTGACTTCATACATTATATTATATCAAATTATCTGCAAACAGGACCGATAACAAATAGAAAACTTATTCTCTTATGGTTGTGGCCTGTTATCTATTTCTTGCAAGAGAAGAGGTGCAGTGTGATACAAAAACTGCCCTACCGGTAATTTGATTGGCTTATCCAGCATCATGAGACCATATTACGACATTTTCATTGGCTATTCCTAGTTCATTGATAACTTTCAAAGGTTAAGACCATGTACATTTCGTCCATGGCAACATACATATGTGATTTCTTCATTAATATACAAACAGTTGCATTTTTTACCTGGATATCTTCTTTTTGACAAATTTTATTTCATTCTAAGTGTACAAAAAGTTTTAAAATGTCTGTTTGATGCCGGAACAGAACATATGACTTCATGCTGGTATGTGAAAAAGACTAGATCAACGATAAGCAGAATTTTTAATTTAACACAATGAGTGTGCTGACCATAAGAGAAATAGGTTTAATAACTTGTGAGAATTGGATATCACTTCATATCAAATCTTGGGGTTTTAATTTAAATAGTAATAATAAACTTGCCAAAGGCTAATTTATTATTATATTGAAATTAAACAACTTGAGTTGATATCAAATTGTCACTCATTATGAAACCTATAATTATCATGAAAATTTAAGTCTATTACGGTTGTATTTGGTTAAAAAGTGGGGTTATCTAACAAATCTCATTTTTAAAATGTAGCTCCTCATTATAAATTTCATACAACTGTGTTCTCAATATCCGCTAATCAACTGCAAGAAGGACTGACAGCACGAGAGCAACCTGTCATTTTCATAAAATTTCTTATGCTTTACCATGCTTTACCATGCTTTACCATGTTTACAAGATATTTTTGTCTGATTTCAGTTTATTCATTGTTGTGTCAATAGGGTCTTTCCAAGAAACATAATCTAACTAAGTTTGATATTGATTGGATGATTATTTCAAAAGATACTATCTGAAAACCTAAACTTCCAGTCTATTAATTGCTGCTATGACTTTGACGTTAGTAACTTTAAATATCCCTTAAAGACAGGTAAAGATCTGATTTATGGCTCAAAAGATATATCCAGAAAAGCAACCTTCCCCTAAAATTCAGTATTAATAGGCACTTTGACCTACTGCCTGAAAAATCAATAGGGGTCTTGTTTTTTTCCAAGAAGCATTCTCATGTTTGGTACAGGTTGGCCATATGGTAGAAAAAGATATTATCTTGCAACCAAAATTTTGGTCTATCAATTGCTACTGTGACTTTGAAAAAAATAAATGTGGATAGTGTCCACATGTGGACACAGATGATGCCCCCGCTTGCATATCATATAGTTATAAAGGGACATAACTGAAGAACGGTAAAAGTGATGCTACCCAAATTTGAACTTGATCTGAGTTTTGTGGTAATAAGCATTGTGTGTAAGTCTCATAACATTTGGTTGAGGCTAACTTAAGTAGAGAACAGAAACTAAAAATTCAGCAATTTTTCTATTTGTAAACACGCATAATTCTAGAACGGTTGTGTATAAGTTTTATAACATTTGGTTGAAACAAACTAAAGTTAGAGAACGGAAACGAAAAATTCAGCAATTTTTATGTTTATAAAGGGACATAACTCAAGAATGGTAAAAGTGTTGCCACCAAATTTCGTACTTAATCTGTATTATGTAGTAATAAGCATTGTGTATAAGTTTCATAACATTTGGTTGAGGCAAACTAAAGTTAGATAAACTGTTATCACAGAGATATGTCTTGCCTTTTTGTAATTTTGATAAGACAAATGTTGAAATTAAAATAGCAATACTTTAACATGTAAGTTATGCAAATATTCAAAGTCGATGAACCATGACTGAAGGTACATGGCTAAACAATCTCCATGGAATGAGATGTGAAAATGCTAATACAACTGCATACCAAATACCATTGACTTATTATCAGTCGTTCCCTTTAAACAAACCTAAACACAAACATTAACTTGTAAACTATGTAAAAGTTTCAAAGTCAATGAACAATGATCAGGGGTGGGGCTATATAAAAAATTATAATTTCCATGGAAACGATACTTGCAAATGCCAATACATTTGCATACCAAATATCATTGACTTAACTTTAGCAGTTCAACTTAAACTGATCTAATCACAAACTAATACATGTAAACTAAGCAAAAGTTTCAAAGTCAATAGACCATGACTGAGGGGGCGGGGCCAAATATTCTCCATGGAAATGAGATGTGCTAATGCTTATACAACTGAACACCAATTAACATTGGCCTACCACTAATGGTTCCCCTTGAACTGACCTAATCACAAACTAATACATGTCAACTTAGCAAAATATTCAAAGTCTATAGACCATGACTAAGGGGGCGGAGCCAAATAATCTCCATGGAAATGAGATATGCCAATGCTTATACAACTGCATACCAAATATCATTGACCTACCAATAGTGGTTCCCCATAAATTGACCTAATCACAAACTAATACATGTAAACTATGAAAAGTTTCAAAGTCAATAGACCTTGACTGAGGGGGCGGGGCCAAATAATCTCCATGGTAATGAGATGTGCCAATGTTAATACAACTGCATACCAAATATCATTGACCTACCACTAGTGGTTCACCATGAACTGAACCTAATCACAAATTAATACATTGTTGACGCTGCCGCCGCAAGCGCCGGAAACAGCATACCTATGTCTTGCTTTTTGACTCCGCCAAGGCGACACAAAAACGGAAACAAAAAATTTGTACTTGATCTTAGTTTTGTGGTAATGAATATTGTGTATAGGTTTCATAATGTTTGGTTGGGGCAAACTAAGTTACAGAATGGAAACTAAAAATTTTGCAATCTTTCGATTTATAAAGGGGCATAACTCAAAAATGGTTAAAGTGACACTACCCAAATTCAACTTGATCTGTGTTTTATCAGTGGAAGTCAAAATTAAACATTGCATTGTATAAAGCATTGATTGTAGTTGATTCAACTATAATCATGGACAAAGGAAGATAAATCCAATTTAAATAATTACTTGATATTTAGAAGAAAATAAAAATTTTGCAATTTTTCCATTTATAGGGGGCATAACTCTAGAACCATTAAAGTGACACCACCAAAATTCAAACTTGATCTGTGTTTTGTGGTAATAAGCATTGTGTATAAGTTTAATAATATTTGGTTGAGGCAAACTCAAGTAAAAGAACAGTAACTAAAAATTTTGCAATTTTTCCATTTATAAAGGGGCATAACTCTAGAACTGTTAAAGTGACACCACCAAAATTCAACCTTGATCTGTGTTTTGTGGTAATAAGCATTGTGTATAAGTTTCATAACATTTGGTTGAGGCAAACTCAACGGAAACCAATTCTGGGACGTACGTACGTACAGACGGACAAGGGTAAAACTTAATGCCCCAACTGCTACAGCAGGGCATAAAAATCAACATTTTGTAACTTTGTTAAAGCTGATAATCTATATATGTTTAAAATTCACAAATTCTTACCAAAAATAAATACTGTAATCCATATACTATAGAATTAATTGTTAAAACAGGCTTCCAGTCTTCTCTAGAAATAGACAAAACCATTTAAAAAATATATATACAATAAGCTATCACATATTGTTTTTATTGTTAATAAATGTTCCTTGACGTGAAAAACAATGACAGAACAATTACAAGTGATTTTAAATCAATATTCCAACAGCATATACTATTTATTCAACATATACATTTTGTACATTATAGTACAAATTTAGTGTGCAACTAAATATGATAAATTTTCTAGTATGCTTTTCTTCATCACTGTATTATTTATTGTCAGTTTTCTATGTACACACAGTTACAGATTTATCAAAGAATAACCAATAAATTATGAACTTAAGTTATTAATTTAATATCAATTTGAAAAATGAAATATGAAACAATCTAACTGACACTACTGACGGCACTGCAAAAAATATATGATAGATTGATAATTGGTATGGCTGATAACTTTCAACAAATGCTAAAATGTGATATTAACAGTGTCAGAAACAATTTTATGGATATATATGCAATAGAATGGCATACAAATTTATCTAACTTTCCAAAATTGCATACATATAGAACCTTTAAATCTACATATTCAACAGAATTGTATATCTAACTCAATTTAAAACGCAGTGAAAGATCAGTACTGGCACAATTTACATGTGATATTCTCCCACTAAGATTGGAAACAGGATTTTTTGTTGGTGAGCCAGAATACCAGAACAGAATGTGTGACTTCTGACACGTCGAAAATGAACTACACTTTCTGGTTGAATGCCAATTCTACAAGGGACTAAGCAATCAATTATTCTCTGGACTAGTAAAACCATATTGAATTTGAATAACAGTGAAAAGTTAAAATTATTATTGTCTGAATATCCTTGAAAAACAGCTCGATACTTAGAACAGTCATTAACAAAACGCAGACAACACTTATATTTAAACAATTAACATGTATATAAAATTCCTGCTGTCAATCTGAATAAGAATTGATACTAGTATCTATTCAAAGTGACTTATAGGTCCATTGGGCTGAGTGTAATTTAATTAAAATATTTCAGTATTGTACATATTTTTGACAGGTCATACACAATGTCACTATATTAAACATATTGATAGAACAGTCTAGTCAGTAATGATTTAACAATTTCATAAATGCAGTTCATAAATTGTAGTTTTAAACTGATGTTAATATAACTTACAAAATGTAACATTTCATAAAATATATGTCATTTAATGTAAAATTACTGTTTGATGGACAACAGAGCAGTAAAGATTTGTTATAATTGATTTCATGATCAAATAAGGTACAGAAAAACATACATGCATCGCCAACAGAAAGAACAATCCTGATCCAGCTGCCCAAGTTATAGATTTGGAGCCACAAATTTGACAATTGTTATTCAGAATCATAGTACATGTAGTATCGTGTTTCTGATAAAACTTTAAATCTGTAATTGTAAGAAGAGCTCTACAGTTACATAAGACTAATATTTTCAATCTTACCGTTGTAACCTTACCTTAAAATATTGAGGCATACATTTCCTTCCAGATCTATGTTAGGATGATACACCATTGTTTCACATTTTACCTTTGGAGGGTCATGAGGATAACCTTGACCTACTTTAAAACTAAATACAAATCTTCCTCCTCTGTAGAAACCCTAAATAAAAAAATATATCATTTATGTTTGTTTGCTGGTGTTAAATGCAACTTTCAGCAACCTTATAAAAACATGATGTGGTATGATTGCCAATGAGACAACTCTCCACCAGAGACATGACAAATGTAAAACAATTCAAACAAGAAAACTAATGGCCTGAGTTATGTGAAACAAAAAATTTGTTCAGGCGTGACATTTGTTCCACAGGAACTTATTTCATAGGAAATATGTTCCACCGGAATTTATATCACAGAAAATTTATACCTTGAATATATATTATAACGAAATATGTTCCAGCACTGTAAAACTTGTTCCGGAACTAATTTTTTGACCAAATGTGAAAAAAGTTTTGGAACAAAAATCACAGCTCCATGAATTTTGTTCTCATATAAAATGCTTCAAAAAAGTGAAATAAGTTCCTGTTATATAAGTTCCGAAGGAATATACTTCATAGAAATCAATGAATAAGTTCCGCTCGAACCTATTTCACAAAAAATAAACAGGGAATGTGTCCATGGGACACAGATGATGCCCCCGCTTGCACTTGCATATAATGTTATAAAGGGACATAACTAAAGCTACGGCAGGGGCATTAAAAGTTCCTTTGCAACATATTTCACAGCAGAACATTTTGTGAGCTTTGGGATTGCGGTTTTAGCCTTTTTGTTTTGTTTTTGGCAAATTCCACATTGTTGAACATATTTTTTTAGTATCAAACACAATGCCTTTCCAATAGTATCTTTCTGTTATCTTGTTGTTTTATTTCACACCTTGGTGCCCACTATGGTCATGGCACATTTTCAAAATACTCTTGAGTTTGTCTTTTGTCACTACAAGTCTTTTAATTAATTGATCAGTCACTTTGTCCTTTTCAACATAGTACAAATTTTCATCTTTAACTATAAAACTTTTCTGAGTGATTTTCCTTATTCTTCTCTTTTCTGCCTCATTAGTGTCGTTTGGGTATTTTTTATTCAGAATGTAATTAAAATTTTTACTATACTCCACAGGATCCATATTGGATGTTTACACTTTTTATTTATTACATTATCAATATAATACATGTTTTTATAATGTAATCGAATGATAACTTTAAACTCACTGATGACAATGCTCAGTATTAAAGATCACTTGTATAACCAGTAGAACTTATTTCACCAGGTAAGGAACAAATCTCACAAACCCAGAACTTATTTCACCAGGTAAGGAACAAATTTCACCAACCCAGGACTTATTTCACCAGGTAAGGAACAAATTTCACAAACCCAGGACTTATTTCACCAGGTAATATGTGGAACTTATTTTATAGAGATGGAACAAATAATATAGAAATTATCTGTGAAATAAGTTCTCCCAGAATATATTTCCTGTGATATCTATTCCACTGGAACTTTTTTCACAGGAACAAATTTTGACTCACATATGTACAAAACAATGAACAAAAATAAAATATGATATACATCAACAGACAACAACCACTGAACTACAGGCTCCTGACTTAGGACAGGCACCCTTCCCATAACCTGGGACAGTAGAGTAACGGCATAACACAAGAACAAACTACAAAACAATAAACAAAATACAAATATGGGAACAGCAATAAATGAAAACCACTCAATTACAGGCACATATAGAATATGGTGGGGTTCAACATGTTTGCTGATATCACCAAGGAAAAATGAGGTATTTTTCCTTAGCAATATTTTTGAATAGTTTTGTTTAAAATATTATATAAATCTAAATTTTTTTTATTACTTTTAGGATGAATTAAAGTGTTAGAATATCAACATGTCAAAACTCAGTAAGGGCTTATTGCAAATGAATTATAATTTATTTGCAATAAGCCCTTACTGAGTTTTGACATGTTGATATTCTAACACTTTAATTCATCCTAAAAGTAATAAAGAAAATATAGATTTATATAATATTTTAAACAAAACTATTCAAAAATATTGCTAAGGAAAAATACCTCATTTTTCCTTGGTGATACTGATGCCAAACCCTCCCCTTAACTTGAAACAGTTGTGTAACAGTACAAAATAAGAACAACCTATGAAAATCAGTTAAAAGGACTTAACTCATCAGACTGATACAAAGCAGAAAAAAAAAAACAACGAAACACAGACTGGACGTGGCAGGGAATTTATACATCCCTCACAACAAAAAAAAGACACAAAGTACAGATTTGAGAGTATCTATATCATGGTAGCCAGTTTTTTATTGATGGAGGAAGCCAGAGTACCCAGAGAGAACCACTGACCTAAGACAAGAAAATTGTCAATCCTTGTCAAACATATATTTGTTCTGCCTCATAGACATTCCTCTGGAAAGTTTGTTATTAACAATGCTATAACATCTGTTCTTTATGAAAGAAATATGTATGGAAAAGACAATTGTCTTCTGTTGAATAGAACACCAAATATTTTAACTTTGATTTTGTTGTATTGTTGAGTTCTCAACTTCTCATCTCATTTCTTAAGAGGCATGTGACCTGTATTGATAATTGTTGACTTTCTACCTTTGATAGAGTATTTTTACAATATTTTCCTATAATGATACAGTACATACATGTCAAATATTTGAACACAGTTATATGTGTGTTTAGCTCACATCTTTTATTCTAATACATACCTCATCTGGACAAATGATAAGTTTAAAGGTTAATAAGTCATCTTGATCAGGAAAATCTACTTGACAGGTCTTTGGTAAATTGAGTTCATGAATATCTGAAAAAAATTACTAATACATATACTACATGTATCATAATAATCTGCCAATTATAAAATACCCTTAATATGTGTTATTGATTTAAACCTGACAATGTTCCAGCCAGACCATGTTTCAGGGCTCAGCATCCCATCTATTTGTCTGACTCCCATGCCCTTTATATTGTGCTGCTCTGACTTTTATTGAGGTTTTTTTTACATAATTTTTTTTTTATTTCCAATCTACATCCAGAAGTCATTAAAGAATAAAAGTAACTGGGCCTTCAATGGGGACTTTATACTTTGTGCTGCTTCTGCCATACCTTGTGTCTTTATTGAGACACATGTACATGTACAGCAGTACTTTGATAGGTTCTGAATTCATACCTGCCAACTTTTAAATAAAATGCTTCGCTGGGGCGCAGCTTGATACGACCGCAGAGGTCGAACCCTGAACAGTTGGGGCAAGTATGGACACAACATTCAAGCTTGATACAGCTCTGAATTTGGATTGTTATTAAATATTTGACACAGCATAGGTTTCTGACACAGAAAGAATGTGGTCTAAGAACTTGAATTTTTTTAATTTACCTATTATGGTCCAATGTCCAAAATCAAAATACATGGTTAGATTCAGCATATCAAAGAACCCCATATATTCAATTTTTGTTAAAATCAAACAAAGTTTAATTTTGGACCAAATTGGACAAACTTGAAAACTGGGCCCATAATCAAAAATCTAAACACATGTTTAGATTCAGCATATCAAAGAACCCCAAGAATTCAATTTTTGCTAAAATCAAACTAAGTTTAATTTTGGACCCTTTGGACCTTAATGTAGACCAATTTAAAAAACGGGACTTAAAATTAAAAATCTAAATACACGGTTAGATTTGGAATATCAAAGAACCCCAATAATTCAATTTTTGATGAAATCAAACAAAGTTTAATTTTGGACCCTTTTGACCTCAATATGAACCAATTTGATAGCGGGGCCCACAAATAAAAAATCAAAATTCATGGTTAGATTCAGCATATCAAAGAACACCATATATTCAATTTTTGTTGAAATCAAAAAAAGTTTAATTTTGGACCCCAACTTGGACCAACTTGAAAACTGGGCCCATAATAAAAAATCTAAACACATGTTTAGATTCAGCATATCAAAGAACCCCAAGAATTCAATTTTTGTTAAAATCAAACTAAGTTTAATTTTGGACCCTTTGGACCTCAATGAAGACCAATTTAAAAAATGGGACCCAAATTAAAAATCTCAAAACACGGTTAGATTTGGCATATCAAAGAACCCCAATAATTCAATTTTCGATGAAATCAAACAAAGTTTAATTTTGGACCCTTTTGACCTCAATATGAACCAATTTGATAGCGGGGCCTACAAATAAAAAATCTAAATACATGGTTAGATTCAGCATATCAAAGAACCTCATATATTCAATTTTTGTTGAAATCAAACAAAGTTTAATTTTGGACCCCAATTTGGACCAACTTGAAAACTGGGCCCATAATCAAAAATCTAAATACATGTTTAGATTCAGCATATCAAAGAACCCCATATATTCAATTTTTGTTGAAATCAAACAAAGTTTAAATACTGGACCCTATCGTGGACCAACTTGAAAACTGGGCCCATAATCAAAAATCTAAACACATGTTTAGATTCAGCAAATCAAAGAACCCCAAGAATTCAATTTTTGTCAAAATCAAACTAAGTTTAATTTTGGACCCTTTGGACCTCAATGTAGTCCAATTTAAATAAAATGCTTCGCTGGGGCGCAGCTTGATACGACCGCAGAGGTCGAACCCTGAACAGTTGGGGCAAGTATGGACACAACATTCAAGCTTGATACAGCTCTGAATTTGGATTGTTATTAAATATTTGACACAGCATAGGTTTCTGACACAGAAAGAATGTGGTCTAAGAACTTGAATTTTTTTAATTTACCTATTATGGTCCAATGTCCAAAATCAAAATACATGGTTAGATTCAGCATATCAAAGAACACCATATATTCAATTTTTGTTAAAATCAAACAAAGTTTAATTTTGGACTCCAACTTGGACAAACTTGAAAACTGGGCCCATAATAAAAAATCTAAACACATGTTTAGATTCAGCATATCAAAGAACCCCAAGAATTCAATTTTTGCTAAAATCAAACTAAGTTTAATTTTGAACCCTTTGGACCTTAATGTAGACCAATTTAAAAAACGGGACTTAAAATTAAAAATCTAAATACACGGTTAGATTTGGAATATCAAAGAACCCCAATAATTCAATTTTTGATGAAATCAAACAAAGTTTAATTTTGGACCCTTTTGACCTCAATATGAACCAATTTGATAGCGGGGCCCACAAATAAAAATTCTAAATTCATGGTTAGATTCAGCATATCAAAGAACCCCATATATTCAATTTTTGTTGAAATCAAAAAAAGTTTAATTTTGGACCCCAACTTGGACCAACTTGAAAACTGGGCCCATAATCAAAAATCTAAATACATGTTTAGATTCAGCATATCAAAGAACCCCAAGAATTCAATTTTTGTTAAAATCAAACTAAGTTTAATTTTGGACCCTTTGGACCTCAATGTAGACCAATTTAAAAAACAGGACCCAAAATTAAGAACCTAAATACACGGTTAGATTTGGAATATCAAAGAACCCCAATTATTCAATTTTAGATGAAATCAAACAAAGTTTAATTTTGGACCCTTTTGACCTCAATATGAACCAATTAGATAACGGGGTCCACAAATAAAAAATCTAAATACATGGTTAGATTCAGCATATCAAAGAACCCCATATATTCAATTTTTGTTGAAATCAAACAAAGTTTAATTTTGGACCCCAATTTGGACCAACTTGAAAACTGGGCCAAAAATCAAAAATCTAAATACATGTTTAGATTCAGCATATCAAAGAACCTCATATATTCAATTTTTGCTAAAATCAAACAAAGTTTAATTTTGGACCCTTTGGACATTAATGTAGACCAATTTGAAAACTGGACCCAAAATTAAAAATCTAAATACACTGTTAGATTCGGCATAACAAATTAATAAATGTGATCAAAGATTTTACAAATCTAATGCGCCATACTGTGCAATTAAAGATTACTTCTTGAAATTTTTCAATATTTGAAATTTGAAAAAAAAATAATATTTGAAGAATAATTCTTTTTAATTTCTGAAATCTGAAATGAGAAAAAATTGACCCCCACAATTTCTTTTTATCCCCCCCCCCTTTTTCCCCCAAAAAAATTCTTTCCCTCAAGATATGGTCATAATCTCAATTCAAATTTCCAATGGAGTTGGCAACCATAATTACCCATTTAAATTTACCATAGTGCTAACTTAATCTATTTTATAATAGAATTAATAAAAATATAGTGTCAAATCTTTCATATGGATTTTTTTGTAAAAAAAAAAGATGAAAACATTTGCAGATATTTTTACTGGTCTTCCTTTATAAATATGCATTTCTTTAAACATAATTTAAAAGCAGAGTAAGGGAAGTAACCAAAACGTATTTGGATTACCTCCCTTACACTGTTTTAGAATATCTTTATTGTTCATTAACCATTACTTTATACATAATTTAAAAGCAGTGTAAGGGAGATAATTTCAATGATGTATTTGATTTATCTCCCTTACACTGCTTTAAATTATGTTTTGTACTAAAGTATTTGTCCATTAACCAGGACAACCTTGTTTTTCCCCCTTTTTTGGACCTAATTCCTAAACGGTTTGAGCCATAACCCCCCAAAGCAAATCCTAACCATCCCTTTGTGGTATGGAAACTTGTAGTATAATTTCAAAGAGATCCATAAACCGTTCCACAGTTATTGTCTGGAAACTAGAAAATGCTCATTTTTGGCCCCTTTTTGGCCCCTAATTCCTTAACTGTTGGTACCATAACCCCCAAAATCAATCCCAACCTTCCTTTTGTGGTATTTAACCTTATGGTCAAATTTCAAAAAGATCCATTCACTTAAACTAAAGTTAGAGTGCGAAAACCAATATGTATTCGGACGACGACGCCGGACGACGACGACGGACGACGACGACGACGACGACGACGACGACGCCAACGTCATAACAATATACGACCACAAAATTTTTTTGCGGTCGTATAAAAACAGGACCCAAAATTAAAAACCTAAATACACGGTTAGATTTGGAATATCAAAGAACCCCAATAATTCAATTTTAGATGAAATCAAACAAAGTTTAATTTTGGACCCTTTTGACCTCAATATGAACCAATTAGATAACGGGGTCCACAAATAAAAAATCTAAATACATGGTTAGATTCAGCATATCAAAGAACCCCATATATTCAATTTTTGTTGAAATCAAACAAAGTTTAATTTTGGACCCCAATTTGGACCAACTTGAAAACTGGGCCAAAAATCAAAAATCTAAATACATGTTTAGATTCAGCATATCATAGAACCTCATATATTCAATTTTTGCTAAAATCAAACAAAGTTTAATTTTGGACCCTTTGGACATTAATGTAGACCAATTTGAAAACTGGACCCAAAATTAAAAATCTAAATACACTGTTAGATTCGGCATAACAAATAAATAAATGTGATCAAAGATTTTACAAATCTAATGAGCCATACTGTGCAATTAAAGATTACTTCTTGAAATTTTTCAATATTTGAAATTTGAAAAAAAAATAATATTTGAAGAATAATTCTTTTTAATTTCTGAAATCTGAAATGAGAAAAAATTGGCCCCCCACAATTTCTTTTTATCCCCCCCCCCCCCTTTTTCCCCCAAAAAAATTCTTTCCCTCAAGATATGGTCATAATCTCAATTCAAATTTCCAATGGAGTTGGCAACCATAATTACCCATTTAAATTTACCATAGTGCTAACTTAATCTATTTTATAATAGAATTAATAAAAATATAGTGTCAAATCTTTCATATGGATTTTTTTGTAAAAAAAAAAGATGAAAACATTTGCAGATATTTTTACTAGTCTTCCTTTATAAATATGCATTTCTTTAAACATAATTTAAAAGCAGTGTAAGGGAAGTAACCAAAACGTTGTATTTGGATTACCTCCCTTACACTGTTTTAGATTATCTTTATTGTTCATTAACCATTACTTTATACATAATTTAAAAGCAGTGTAAGGGAGATAATTTCAATGATGTATTTGATTTATCTCCCTTACACTGCTTTAAATTATGTTTTGTACTAAAGTATTTGTCCATTAACCAGGACAACCTTGTTTTTCCCCCTTTTTTGCCCCTAATTCCTAAACGGTTTGAGCCATAACCCCCCAAAGCAAATCCTAACCATCCCTTTGTGGTATGGAAACTTGTAGTATAATTTCAGAGAGATCCATACACCGTTCCACAGTTATTGTCTGGAAACTAGAAAATGCTCATTTTTGGCCCCTTTTTGGCCCCTAATTCCTTAACTGTTGGTACCATAACCCCCAAAATCAATCCCAACCTTCCTTTTGTGGTATTTAACCTTATGGTCAAATTTCAAAAAGATCCATTCACTTAAACTAAAGTTAGAGTGCGAAAACCAATATGTATTCGGACGACGCCGCCGGACGACGACGACGACGACGACCGACGACGACGACGCCAACGTCATACCAATAAACGACCACAAAATTTTTTTGCGGTCGTATAAAAACACCATGGGGGTTTTAGTGACATTTTTTTCAAAGGTTACAATTTTTCCTGCATTTTCGCATGCACCGTTTTGTACTCTAGAAATAGTGTCATATCTTTTTGTTTTCTTATAGTATTCTGATGATGAGCTTATAAGACCTTCCTTCTTTTTATTTGCATGATGCTTGTGCTTATATTATTGTGTACAAAAGATAGTAGATGTAGCTACATTTTGTAGAATACCAGCAAATATTATCTTGTGTAGGATTAAATGACTGTTGACTTTTCCAATTAAAAATATGGACAAAGAAGGACACTGATTCCTTGTGAAAAATAAAAGACAGACTCACAGTACTTGAAATGATTTGATCATTTGATAACAAGAATGACAACACTGTATGATCTGTTTCAAAACGTGTAATGTCCATAAGCTACTATTTAATATGTTCATGGTGGCACTGCAACTCAAATTGCAACAAAGCAAGCACACTTCATTGACTTGTATTTAACTTGATTTATATTTTAATAAACGTCTGATTTAACCTCTACGTAATCACATAAATGAAAATTTCTTATGAACAGTTCTTTTGTATTAACTGTACATGCTTGCTTGACAATCTTGCGAAGTCCAGCATCTGGTACAGTGTAGAACAAAGTAGTTACTGACAGCCTGTGTCTGTTGTGATGTTTTGAATTTCAATGAACGTAATCTATTTATTACTGGTTAATTATTAAGTCAGGGATTTCGTTGGATGTGTACTGATTGATATTTTAGTCTTAGATGCATAATTTTTTTATCAGTTGTTATTGGCTTTAAACTAGCTGTCAGTAACTGTGAGTACTCTCAGATCTGTACTTAAGTGACTTTTTGTTGTGGGGATGTATAAGTACCCTGCCATGTCCACTGTGTTTTTGTTATATATATTTCTGTATGTATCCATCTGATGAGTTAAGCCTTTTTCAACTGATTTTTATAGTTTGTTCTTATGTTGTACTGTTACACCACTGTCCCAGGTTAGGGCGAAGGTTGGGCGCCTGCTAACATGTTTATCCCCGCCACATTCTGTATGTGCCTGTCCCAAGTCAGGAGCCTATTATTCAGTGGTTGTCATTTGTTTCTGTGTATTATATTCTTTTTTTGTTCATTATTTTATACATAAGTTGGGCCGTTAGTTTTCTCGTTTGAATTGTTTTACATTTGTCATTTTGGGGCCTTTAGTAGCTGACTATGCAGTATGGGTTTTGCTCATTGTTGAAGGCCGTACAGTAAACTATAGTTGTTAATTTCTGTTTCATTTTGGTCTCTTGTGGAGAGTTGTCTCATTGGCAATTATACCACATCTTTCTATTTTTATATTGATAATGTTCTGAGCTATGAAGGGCTTCTGATAAAATAAACAGTTCTTCATGCTTTGCCACCGTTGTCAATGCTCTGGTCTCTATCAGTCTATTGCAAACTTCGCAAAATGCAAGTGATTTACTTATTGTTGAATTTTTCAATCAGCCGTGCTTTTCTTCTTAAGAGGCCCAATATTCGTCTTGCAGGTGAAAATTTGTCTACTATATGATCACGATTTTTACAATTCTGACATACAATGTACAGACAGAGGAATACAACTCAAAAGTTTCACCCAAGTTAGAATTTCAGCATGTTGCAATAACTCGTAATCACAATAGCTTTATTCACAATCATGATCATGCAATCAGGACAAGGGGTCAAAATTGTGTAGTTCACATCTAAATCCTGAAAGTTGGCAGGTATGCGAATTCCTCAAGCAAGAGACGCTATGTGTCGTGAATATGGGCCAAGAGACTTTAGAACATAATGTTATGTAATTGTTTCCTGGACTTTCGTGCACACTATTGTAATGTAACATGATGTTATTGTTACATATCTACGAATCTATAGAATCATAAAGCATCTCAACTAGCAAGACGTTATTTTCTTTACACAAATCTAACAAGTTAATAACCCTCCAGATACTATATGTTGCTAGGTCAACTCAATGAGTTTGACTGTCCCTCTGGTATCTTTTGTCCCTCTTCAATATGAGTCCATAAAATATCTGTTTTACGTAGATCAAGCTTAAAATACAATAGCCTGAATAGAGCTATCTCTGAAATACATATTTTTTCTCACTTGCATGTCATTATAACATGTTTCTGTATTTCGGTTTCTTTTTTAACAGATTCTGAAGTAAAAATATGCTTGAATTAAAAAAACTAATGTTCACAGACTTTGTCCCCTTTCACAGGTAATGCCTACCTCATATTAAATGTCTGAAAAGTGGTATGTCTGACTTAAGGGCAGAGTGACCCTTCTATAAAAAGTCCAACAAACAAAAGGTTGTGGTTATTTTCTTATGCTCCTTCATTTCTTTAAACAAACTTAAGTCCAAAATTTAAATGAATTCAATGCCTTAACCTCTTTGTAGATATAACTCGTAGTGAAGGATTTCAATCCCCATGCCACATTACAGACATTACTCAAATCAATGGAATGTGATAAATTCATTCAATTTCTACAGATACTTTTTTCGGATTTCACCTTTCTGTATTCTCAACTGTGCAGCTGATGCTTTTTTCTGTGTTCCTGATTTTTCTCCGCTATCGGTACCGTCTTTTTTCTGCTGTTTCAGAGAAAACAACTTAATCATTTTGGTTTTCTGTTTCTTTTTTTTTTTTATTTGTGAAAGTACCCAGTGCGTAATAAAGCACTTCCGCTTAAAGTTTCGTATGATTACCAGAGAACGAAAGAAAAATAACCGACAGACTTGATATTTAAAAAAAAATTATTCTTTTCCTATTTGTAAAATAAAAATAAAAAAATATCCGAAGACAGATTATTTTCGAAATTCTGGCTATTACACCGACTTCCGGTAAACTTCATTCCTTGGCAGCGAAAAGGTAAAATATCTTGTCACTATGCTTCCTTGCTCGTGAATTACAACGTAAATGTCATTCAAGTTTTCTTGAATAAAACAATAAATCAGACCTCACTGTTTTAAAATATGTAATCTTTACCTTTCAAAGATTAGCCGTTCAAGTCTTAATAACATGTAACCTGGTAACAGTAAAGCATGATTCATCTTTCAAATAATTTGTCTCTGTGCCACAAGGAATGGAATATACATATTTATTCAAGATGAAAAGGCATGAATTTTACAGATACAATATATTACAATGACACAGAAATAGCACTAGACATAGTTTATAGACACTAAAATGATTTACATGTTTACCAGTCAGAGATAATATGAGGCAGGCGTTACCTGTGAAAGGGGACGAAGTCTGTATGAATTATTTTTTTTTAATTCAAACATATTTTAACTTCAAAATTTGTTAAAAAAGAAACGGAAATACCCTTACGTTTCCGATTTCGGTTCTGTTGTTTGGGATTTTAGTTATGACGTTATTTATGTTATGACGTCATATTCAATGTAAACAAAGAAACGCTATCAGGTAACGTTTTTTCATATCAAGCCATTCAAGGAATTATTAAAAATGGAATTTGACACATTCCCCATTTCCATTCTCAATTTTATTTTTTACAGAGTTTGTCTAAAGTGCCGTGTGGAGACAGTAGAGTGCCTCCCCGTGCTTCAGGTTTATGCTCTTATAATATACTAGATTATGGAGTGTGTGTCCGAGCTAGTAGTCTGTTGTTATTTATGTATTATTGTCATTTTGTTTATTTTCTTTGGTTACATCTTCTGACATCAGACTCGGACTTCTCTTGAACTGAATTTTAATGTGCGTATTGTTATACGTTTACTTTTCTACATTGGCTAGAGGTATAGGGGGAGGGTTGAGATCTCATAAACATGTTTAACCCCACCACATTTTTGCGCCTGTCCCAAGTCAGGAGCCTCTAGCCTTTGTCAGTCTTGTATTATTTTTAATTTTAGTTTCTTGTGTACAATTTGGAGTTTAGTATGGCGTTCATTATCACTGAACTAGTATATATATTTGTTTAGGGGCCAGCTGAAGGACGCCTCCGGGTGCGGGAATTTCTCGCTGCATTGAAGACCTGTTGGTGACCTTCTGCTGTTGTCTGTTCTATGGTCGGGTTGTTGTCTCTTTGACACATTCCCCATTTCCATTCTCAATTTTAATTGGTATTGCGTTCCTTCCTATATTCTACTAGACTGATAAATATATATTTTACTCAAAGACTCGTGCAAACGAGACCGGAAAAAGGAAGTAGATTTCTGCGCAAATGCGGGAAAATAAAAAAGGCTGAAAATAAAAAAGTTAACGATTTTGAGTTCATTAGTAGAATGAAAATTTCGGGAATTTTCCCGATTTTTTTTATTTTTTTTTTTTTATTAATTTTTCTACCGTAATAGGGGACTTTGTCCCCTTATAACTCTATAGGGTTATTACAGAAAATAACTTTCATGTGTTATTACAGATACTTTCATGAGTTGTCTACTTTTTATTCCTTAAATTTTCTAAATCTGTAATAACATATGTTTGTTATATGTAAAATAAATAAAAAATATTTTAATTTATAATGGGCTCTAGGGAACTCTTGAGACTTTGCGCAGAAACTAAATGCATAGCCTTGATAATTAATTTTTTAATTAAATTTAATACATTTTTGATTAACCATGGTAAATCAATGAGATGAGGCTTTTAAGGGATAAAATTAGCTGTAATAACATAGCTTAGTTATTAAAGGAATGTAACCTATTATATGAGACACTTGGGAATTACTGGGAAGCTTGCGCAGAACCTCATTACATGCTCTGGTCATTATTTCTTACAATAAATTAAAATACATTGTAATTAAGCATGATTTACTCTGAGAAAATGCTTTGGAGTGATATAGAGAAGCTGTTATAACACCCTTTAGTTATCATGGTTATTACAGGCATATTTTTTCTGTAATAACATATAGGTGTACTTTGCAAAATTGGCAAACTATGAACTGTTATATCTTTCTATAGTTAAGTATACATAAAGACAATAGTAATATCAATAGAACTTGTATGCATTTTAACTAAACTAGTGATTTATATTGTCCCTTTGAAACATGTAACATACATATGTTATCACAGTTCTTTGATTTTTTAGTCCACAATAAAAAATTTATGTTATTTTTCTGTAATAACCCTATAGAGTTATATCCCTGACTGTTTACTAAAAATTTTAATTTAAAAAATAAAATTATGAAAATTTTCATGATATTTTGATAATATGAATAGACTAGATTAAATAATGAGTGAAATTTATATTGACTAGATTTTCACTGTAGCTTAATATCTTAGGATGACCCACAAAAGTTATTAAAACTTATTTCCAGTGGGGTCCTTTTATGACGAGACTTCCAGTTTACACCAAGGGTTGACACATAGAAAAATACAAACACAAATCATTTAGAATTTATCACAGATAAATGGTCAAAGCCCCAGTATAATTAATAAAAAAACAAATTCACTATTAAAGATGGATTTAAATTTATCCATCAAAAACTTTTTCACTTGTACTTTAAAAATTATATTTTTTAGAGCAACTTTTAATCATGTCTGGTAATGAATTCCAGTCTTTTATTAAGACTTATTTTTTTTGCTCAGTTCTTATTATTATTATAATTCTTCTATCTCTTCCTCTTCCGCCACTTTTAAATTTGAACTTGTCCGCACCCGTTCTCCAAAACCGCTTGTCAGATTAACTTAGGGTTTCACAAAATGTTAGACTAACATGTCTAGTGGTGCAATCAGGGTTTTGTTTGTGCAATAGGGTTTATAAAGGGGTACTTTGAGGGTCAAAAAGAAAGGAGGGTTTTACTATAGAACCCTATGGGAATTTATTTTTTTAAATTTTCAAATGATTATAAATTGAAAACCGTTTGTGATAGACACAATCTTTTTAATTGAAAATGTTCTAAATGATAAAGCACATTAAATGAAATACAGGGTTAGTCCCCAGGGGTCACCCCCACCCCCTGCCATTTAAGAAAGTTCTAATACCTTGAAAGTGGTCAAGATCCCCACCCCTAAACCATATATATTCTGGTTTGTCATGCTAAGAAGGTTTGAATGATATACAGGGTTAGTCCCCAGGGGTCATCCCGACCCCCTGCCATTTGAGAAAGTTCTAATATCTTGTAAATGGTTGAGATCCCCACCCCTAAACCATATATATTCTTGTTTGTCATTATAAAGCAAATCAAATGAAATACAGGGTTAGTCCCCAGGGGTCACCCCTACCCCCTGCCATTTAAGGAAGTTCTAATATCTTGTAAGTGGTCAAGATCCCCACCCCTAAACCATATATATTCTGGTTTGTCATGCTAAGATGGTTTGAATGATAAACAGGGTTAGTCCCCAGGGGTCATCCCCCACCCCCTGCCATTTGAGAAAGTTCTAATATCTTGTAAATGGTCGAGATCCCCACCCCTAAACCATATATATTCCTGTTCGTCATGTCTAGAACATTTGAATGACGTATAAGATCAGTCCCCAGGGGTTCCCCCCAGCCCCAATGTTCTAATATCTTGTAAGTGGTCAAGATCCCCACCCCTAAACCATATATATTCTGGTTTGTCATGCAAAGATGGTTTGAATGATATACAGGGTTAGTCCCCAGGGGTCATCCCCCACCCCCTGCCATTTGATAAATGTTCTAGTATCTTGTAAATGGTCGAGATCCCCACCCCTAAACCATATATATTCCTGTTCGTCATGTCTTGAACATTTGAATGACGTATAGGATCAGTCCCTAGGTGTTCCCCCCACCCCCTATGTTTTAATATCTTGTAAGTGGTCAAGATCCCCACCCCTAAACCATATATATTCTGGTTTGTCATGCAAAGATGGTTTGAATGATATACAGGGTTAGTCCCCAGGGGTCATCCCCCACCCCCTGCCATTTGAGAAAGTTCTAGTATCTTGTAAATGGTCGAGATCCCCACCCCTAAACCATATATATTCCTGTTCGTCATGTCTTGAACATTTGAATGACGTATAGGATCGGTCCCCAGGGGTTCCCCCCACCCCCTATGTTCTAATATCTTGTAAATGGTCGAGATCCCCACCCCTAAACCATATATATTCCTGTTCGTCATGTCTTGAACATTTGAATGACTTATAGGGTCAGTCCCCAAGGGTTCTTGTAAGTGGCAAGATGATTTGAATGATATACAGGGTTAGTCCCCAGGCATCACTAATGCATATAACTTTATCAAACCAATTTTCACTGGACTTTGCCCAATGTCAGACGACCCTGGGAATTACGAATTATGGGAGCTTCGTTTGGGAGACTTCGTAACAGCATCCTGTTACAATCATTTCTTGTTATTATTATTCTTCTTCTTCTTCTTCTTCTTCTTCCTCTTCCGCCGCTTTTAAATTTGAACTTGTCCGCACCCGTTCTCCAAAACCGCTTGTCAGATCAACTTAGGGTTTCAGAATATGTTAGACTAACATGTCTAGTGGTGCAATCAGGGTTTTGTTTGTGCAATGGGGTTTATAAAGGGGTACTTTGAGGGTCAAAAAGAAAAGAGGGTTTTACTATAGAACTCTATGGGATTTTATTTTTAAAATTTTCAAATGATTATAAATTGAAAACCGTTTGTGATAGACACAATCTTTTTAATTGAAAATGTTCTAAATGATAAAGCCCATTAAATGAAATACAGGGTTAGTCCCAAGGGGTCACCCCCACCCCCTGCCATTTAAGAAAGTTCTAATACCTTGTAAGTGGTCAAGATCCCCACCCCTAAACCATATATATTCTGGTTTGTCATGCTAAGATGGTTTGAATGATATACAGGGTTAGTCCCCAGGGGTCATCCCGACCCCCTGCCATTTGAGAAAGTTCTATTATCTTGTAAATGGTCGAGATCCCCACCCCTAAACCATATATATTCTGGTTTGTCATGATAAAGCACATCAAATGTA